GGGGCGTCAAGGTTCATAGCGTCCTCTTCTATAGAGGCTTAGGGGTTGGATCGGAGGGACTTTTCGAGGGATCTAGCAAAGTTTCAAGTACCGAGAGAGCCCAATACCCACTAAATAAGGATTTTTCCATAAATTATAAGGGCCTCCATGTTATGATTTAAGGTATATATTGCTTAATTAAGGGTCTTGGGCTCTCTGGGTACTGTGATTCTAGGAGGTTTAGGGCTTGGGATGGCTTGGGGGTTTGGCTTGTCCTGCGAGTACGGGATTGAATATGATCACAAGGCCTCCAGACAGAGTACCCTAAATACCTCGGTATGGCTCATACGGACTTCCAGTCGATGACTTCATGGTTTGGGACGGTTTCGAAAGGCCTTCTATAGATGTGCGGGGCTTGGAGACCAAGGCGTCGGGATCTCGACATCGTTTGTGCTTGAAGCGAAACTGAAAGCGCCAGCTGAAACCGAGACCACAAAGCAAAATGCGCAATGTAGAGAATCAGAGGACTCCATGAGAAGGGTCATGAGGTAGCTGCAGATGTACCCCCCCCCCCCACATCCTCAGTTAACTTGATTGTAAACCTGTACTACCTATATTGATCGGGTCTTGCAGGGGTTCTACGGGGAACTTCCATGACCTTCGAAGACCAACATCGTAAACCCTTCTAACATCGCATCCCCACTTAACCCATAGGCCCCTAAGTAGTTCCTGTTTGAGATTGCCTTTATAGGATTCTAAGTACAAACCACAAAAAAGAACCACTTAGGGGCCTATGGGAATAATGGACCCTAAACCCTAAACCCCTAAACCCCTAAACCCTAAAACCTATAAACCCTTCTAAACCCTATACCCTACTTAAAAGTGGGCCTGCCGCAGCATGCCCCTCATCGTTGAGGAAGAGGGCGTCCAGAAGATGCACCGCGAGGTTCCAGCGCTCGCAGCCGAGGTCGTACCTGAGAGGATCTCGGGCCCCTGGGGTTGGTGCGCGGGCCTTAGGGCTTTCAGGGCTTTTGGGGGTTTTAGCTAGGGGTTTTAGGGCTTTTGGGGGTTTTGGTTAGGGGTTTTAGGGTTTTAGGGCTTTAGGGATTTGGGGTTTTAGGGCCTTAGGGTTTTTAGGGGCTTTAGTTAGGGGTTTTAGGGGTTTAGGGCTTTAGGGATTGGGGGCTTCAGGGTTTTAGGGGTTTTAGGGGTTGAAGGTTTATGGTTAAGGGGTTTAGGGTTTGATTAGGGTTTAGGGTCTAGGACTTGGGCTGCTATGATATGGGAAATGTATCGACTTCGGGGTGCGCCACAACGAGCATCTGAAACGCAGGTGATTGCATCCAGTTTCGGGTGGGTCTGCTTCCACAGCAGAGAGCCATGCTTGGCACACCCAGTTTAGCAACCTAGAATGAGAAAGGAACCCAAGCTGAAGAGCCAAGGAGCATCTCGAAATTGCCGATGGGGAAGTTGAGCTCGGACTTCAGCGGGTGCAGGACCAAGTCCACCTGCGTCCAACAACAGCTGGAGCAAAAAACACACAGCAATAAAAGCAACAACAAACATTACAACAGCCATGGCGACGGCAGTGGCAACGACAACAGACAACTACATCCACAACGATGGCAGCGATAACAACAACACTCTCCATCATACGATCATGTCATCACCATCCAGCAGCAGCCCCTAGCACTGTCATCGCTGCAACCATCACGATAAGTAGGAATTCTATAATCCTCATCCTCATCCTGATCCTCCGAGTCTCTTCATCTCCAACATCATTTTCAACGTCAGCACCGCTGTGATGGTGATGGATGAGACGATCGATGCACTGACGATAAGGACGAAGACGATGATGGTGACAAACAGGCAGACGAGCGGAGGTAGGCCCAAAAAAAAGGTAAAAATGATGTCAGCGAGATCTCTCTCTCTCTCTCTCCCTCCCTCCCTCTCTCGCTCTCACACGACACAGAGACGCTCAAACACACAGTCAGACACAAACACACCTCCTGCTTCCATCTAGCCAAGGGAGTCGAGGGCTCGTGTGCCGAAGTGCGGTCTTTTGCCAAGGCCTCATCGATAAGGGCGCAGCTGTTGTTGCGCAACATCGCCTTGCCCAAAGCTTTCAAGCAGCAATATAGTAGCATCTTAGTAGATATTTGGGGCCCACAAGTACATGCTGTACTGTACTTGGATACTCTGGGTGACGATCACACATGGGGAATCGGGTTTTCAATCTTCCTGTCTATTTCAGGCATACAGCCACAGTGGCGATAGTCCCAACAGTTGGGGCTCTTGGTTTGCCAATGCCTCTCCAATCGAATGCACTTGCCAGACGAAGCAAACGTACAGATCACACAAACGCTTATGAAAATGCTCTGCAGTAGTGGAAAGCAGGAGGAGGCCTTGAATACATCGACAGTCAAGGCCAGAGACCAGTGAAGACTCTTCGGCAAACAGAGTGAGGGCGACAAATGTGCTGCCAACAGTCGCCGTCTTAGAGTCAGCAGGTAGCTAAACACAAACAGGGAAACGGAGGAGGGGGCGAAGTAAACTTTAAACCACAGCAGGAAAAACTGCATGTATACTATCTACGAAGACTCAATAGAAACACACATATTATATGTGCTCTACATCTCTCCCTATATATATATATATGTATGTATGTATGTATGTATGTATGTATGCATGCATGTATGTATGTATGTATGTATATATATATACGCATACATATATGGATGGCCCATGTGGCCAGAGCTGCAAGCCCCCCAAGCAAGATATTGCAAGAATGAAACCCCCAAACTCAACCTCACAAGCCTTAGGGAGATACGTCGAATGGAGGAAAATTTCAAGCTGTGGACCGATCACGCTCTTTCAGGCTGCTGACGGATACGGGCATAGATTCAATTAGGATGTTTAGGCTTCGGGGTTTTATGGTTCGGGGCTGACCGCAGGATGTGGGGTTGTTCTTCAGCTGCTCATCAGATCGAGCAGCCAAGACGTCGCCGATGAATCCCGCCATCACCCTGTTGCCCTCGACTTCCTGCGGGATAAGACTTGCTGAACTTGACTCTTTGTGTCCGCACGTCCCTATCACACAGTTGCTACGCCGACTACTTCAGGTGATTCTGGGTGCAGCTGTCTTGATTGGTACTGCTAAGCTGCTGGCTTTTCGAGGCCCTGGGTTCATAACAGCATGACAATGCCCAAGAAGGTTACAGTTACAGGACTTCGACTGGACATCTAAGACACTAAGGGTCCATGTACCCAAATAGCATATACTTTGGCCCCAAACGGTATCCTTTCTCGAGGCCTAAGCCGTCTCCGCCAGTTCTTCAACAAGGGGCTAGCAAGTTCTCGCTTTAGGGTCTAGGGTTTAGAGAGTTTAGGATTTAGGGTTTAGAAAGTTTAGGATTTAGGATTTAGGGCTTGGGGGAAAACCCTAAGCCCTAAGCCATAAAACGCTAAAACCCCAGGCCGTCCTTGTTCACATCCTGCATTCGCTTCTTCAGCCGCGTCTGGGACACGGAATCTTTGGCCTCGCGATCCATCTGGAGTTTTCCGTTTAGCGCTTAGGGGTTTAGGGTTTAGGGGTTTAGGTTTGAGGTGTTTAGGGTTTTGGGCTTCGTAGGGGTTTTGCGGGCTTAGGCTTTGGATCTCAGCACTACTCCGATTACTGTGATACTCAGGCTAACATGTCTCGACTGTCTTTCTTTGCGGCGTCTTTATGACCATGGCGGAGGGGGGCCTTCACCGCAGGATTGCAATGGGTTTCACGGGTGGCACGGATTGCGTCAACATTCCGGCGAAAAAAACACGCAAAACCACGAAGCCATAGGCTTGACTTCCTGCCAGTAACTACGGTTCGCAGAGGGATCCTCCCATTGAGTCGTGAATCATGTCCGATAGAAAAAACGGTTCCAGTTCTTGCAAGTTGATAGGCACATCCTAAACTCTGTCGCACGCTGCTGCGTAGGCCGGGCGTCGAAACCAGGACTGGTCAGACACGAATGTTTCGGGTGTGAGCTCAAGGATACTGGGTTTAGACTTCAAGGTTTAAATTGACCCCAAAGAACCTACCGTTTTAAGGACTTAAAGGAAATCATAATAAGGATCCCTAAAAAGGTAGGTTCTATCGGGTCCAGGCAGGGCTTGGACCCTAAGCCCTAAACACAGACGAAGGTTTCGGGTTTTGTCGGTCAAGGGTACTGGGTTTAGACTTTAAGGTTTAGGGCTTGGACTCTAAACCCTGATCACCTAATCAGAGAGCTTAGGGTTTATAGGATTTAGGGTTTAGGGTTTAGGCTTCGGGTTTGAGGTCAAGGGAAATGGGTTTGGGCGTTCGGGTTTAGAGCTCCGACCTTAAACCCGAAGCCCTGATCGTCAGCAAGGGAAGCGCGATTGGAACAAGTAGAACCCTATTATAAACCCTATAAACCCTAAACTGAAGGGTTTAGGGTTTAGGGTTTAGTGAACACTTATCTGGGTTGACAGCTGCACTTCCCTTAACATGGGGCCCTCAGCAGGTGGAACAGGGCTTCAGGAGGTATACAGTAGTAATATTGGATTGAGACTACACAGGCCCGGCGATGCTACAAGTATTGCTATCTTTTTACAGGCCCCTGTACTAGTAGTAGATTGTTAGAGCTGCCAAAATGCTGGAGACAGCGGAAGATGTCACGATGTCCATCTTGGAAAGCATTCTGACACCCTACCATCTACACGTCCAGGGCTCTACTCTGCGGTTTACGCATGGTCGCCCGAAACCCTTCCCATAGGCCACTAAGTAGTCGTCTGTTGGGATTACCTTACATGACTCTAAATATAAACCATAAAAAGGAACTACTTGGGGGCCTATGGCTTAACCCCCCCATAGTTCACTCGAAAGCCCAAATCCTGCCCTGTTCAGGGCCGAAGTTTCTTAGCTCCATAGTTTCTTAGCCTACGGGTACCCTCTGCCAGTTAAGGAATGAAAGGGTGCTCTGCTACGGAAAGGGGGGCCTAGCTACAAACCCCGACGCCTTGTGCATTTCAGCTTTGTACTTCTTCTGGGTGTTCATGTGCAGGTGGTTTAGCTGCAACAGCTCGAGATGGCGCAAGAACATGGATTTGATGGCCTGGCACAGGGACCAGCACAAGACCAGACAGCTCCGACAATCAGGTTGAATGCCCACTAGACATTCAAAAGTCGGAGACAGTGCGGACATCTTAACCAAACCCAAAACCTAGTGAATCCTTCTAAAGCTCGATCAAGACAGCAAATGGATTGCAGTGTCTAGTACACAGCAAACACTACCCACAAGTCAGGCATCAATCCCTCATTGTCCTTGTCATTTCCTGACCTGCTTACTCTCTCTTAGAACGCTAGCTAAGCCAAGCCGGAAACCGGGCAGGGCAGACGGCTGGAGTGGTGCAGACGACGGCCGCATCACGCTGAGCGTCGAAGAGCTGCTGTTTGATCAACTGCACATCGAAAGGATCATCCTGCTCAGAAACTCACTGACGAAGGTTTAGTGTCTAGGGCTTGTAGGGCGGAGGGTTTAGATATTTTGTGGCTGTCACTTCACTTGTCTGCACCTGCATTGGCGATTCTCGTCCCAGGCATGCCATGTACATACGTGTCTTATGCAGCTCATGAATGGATGCGAAGTATGAATTTCATGCCAGTATGTGTGTGCAGTTATGGGTGCAACCAGAGCTTTTTGGCTTGATCAAGGAGCTTCTAGAAATAGAATATAAAGAATAGTATGTGTATAGATAGATAGATAGATATGTATGTATATATTAGGTACTTTTTAATATACAGTATGTAACAGGATTGCAGCATTGCATCGAGTTGCATGGAAGAGTCCTGGTCCCCCCGAACCCTCAAGTCCTGGACAGCACAAGCCCCGACCTCCCGAACCAAAAACTCTCCGTCGAAAGGTGAAACTCTGAACTCTCAGGAGATATGCCGTATCAGAACGGCGACTGAACTTACACGCACCAAGAAACTATCCGGTGAGATGCTGAAGCCCAAAACAACTCTGAACGTAACTCCTACACAACCCGGGGCTTTGATTTGGACTGTAGGAAGTTCAGGACACTCTACCGCCTGGCACGGCCAGAGCCGACCATCGTTTCGCCCCAGCTACGGCTTAACGGTTTAGGGTTTGGGATTTAAGGTTTCCTTCAAGGCCGTTTCGGGGCTCCGGCCCTATGAACCCGAGACTTCCCGAGGGTTTAAAGGGCTTAGGGCTCAATTAAACCCTAAGTCCGGGACGAGAACCAGTCCTGGACCTTATACCCAGAACCTTAAACCTTAAACTGTTAACCCTGAACCTGACGCACTAGACCCTGTAGGAACCTCTGTCCTGTCCCATCCCGGGAAGAGAACCCTAAACCCTAATCCTGCCCCATCATTCTGCTGAACTCCAGGGTCACCACGCGCTTGGCCAGGATCTGACCAAACATCTTCCTTCGAACTGCTGGTAGGGTTTAGGGTTTAGGGTTTAGGGCTTATAGGGTTTATAGGGCTTAGGGTTTATAGGGTTTAGGGTTTGTAGGGTTTAGGGTTTATAGGGTTTCGAACTGCCGGGTTCATCATAAAGGGGCCTCGCTAGGTTCCCCAGTGGCCCCTTAACAATGAGGGCACCCTTTTTCCCACTATTTGGTTTTAAGAAGGGAACCCGAAAAGAAAAAGGGCAAAAGGGTACTACTGGGGAACCTAGCTCAATAATTAGAATAGGGCTTTACCGTAGAGAATACTGTTACAGATCAAGAGTGACCGGTCATGGAGCGCTTTTTCGATCGAATCGTGTCTGTTTGCAGTCGGGGCGTGTAGCCCCAAGAGTAAAGGGAAACCCGTAGTAAGAAGCCCGGCCTACAAAATGGTAGCGTTTGGTAGTCTGAGGCTAGGCACACCTAAGCTGTCCATGGGCTCGCTGTCGAAACAGAGCTTTGCAATCGTCAACCAATTGTTCAGCTTCGGCCTCACCCCAAAAGCCCTGCCTCAACCCCTGAAAACCCAGCACATCCTTTCGAAAGACTTGTAAAAGAGATGCCATGAACAGGAGCCCTAAAGAGGGAGGTTCTTTTGGTGATCGGATCCTTAAGGGAGCCCTAGGAGAATTGGGGATTATTGGGTTATATACCCCTCTTAGAACCCCCTCCCTTAAGGATCCCATAATTTGGGGGGAGTTGAGGTACAAGTCGAACTCAAACTTAGATCCTTTGTCCAGCTTCAGATCCCCTGGGGTCTCAGTCTCACCTAATTCGCCGCTTGTCTAGCATGACCTTATGGTGCTTAAGCGAAAGTGTCGAAGTGGATCCCGATAATCATCCCCTGCAAAAGGCCCAAAGATCTCCCTTTAACGGCCCCTACACTTCCTCCCCCACTCCCCGTTTACCACCAGTAAGCAAGAGCCCCGCTTCGCCGAACAAAAACACTAAACTAAACCCTAAGCCAAGCTTCCGCATCACGTTCCGTGTCTGCGCCAACAAGGCCTTTGGCACAATGTTGAGCACCAGGCGGCCGTCGTTTCCCAGCCTTGAAACGGTTGCTTTAAGCTTGCTTGTCTAGTATCCTAGGGGAACTGAAGGTTAGCCTTTAAGATTATGTTGAGGTGCTATAGCTAAGTATAGTACCCCAAAACAGTCAAAGGTTACATTAACCTTCAAGATTATACTAAGGTACTCCATAGTTAACTATAGTACCCCCCAATGAAGGTCAAAGGTTACGTTAACCGTTAAGATTATATATTAAGGTACTATATTATAGAACCCACTCTAAAGTTCATTTACCACCCAAGAAAAGTCAAAGGGTACCTGCTCTGCTACTGGGCGTGTCGTCACATCTGTAGCAATCATGTAGGTGCTCCTGGAGGGCCGGTGCTGTCGCCACAGCAAGTGTCTCATGCTGCTCATACTGTGATGACACGTGAGGGGAACACACCACCTGCATTTGCAGCTGGATCATTCTACGAACGCATGGCAACTGGCGAGCAAGCCTGTAGTAGATGCTGAGGACACAACTGAACTGAACATCGATCCTTGCACTGTACCCAGGGGCTCCATTGTGGCTCCTTTTTGGGATTACCTCATAGGATCCTTAACCAGAACCACAAAAAGGAACTACCATGGAACCTATGGGTAGCTTTGTCTGATGACTTGGCAAGTCCCTTGAATGCACAACCCTCACAAGATACGGGACCATGATTTCAACCCTCGGATCTTTTAGCAAAAGGACCTCCCAAAGAAGGTATCTAACACTGACTTTAAGAACCCGTCGTGTCGTTTCGGCAGGGATTCTGGGCCAGGGATTCGGGTTCAGGGTTTAGGGCTGATTATTACTTCTGTTCTTCTTGTTATTAATACTCCGGCGAGCCACAGCAAAGTCAGCATTGGAGCAATGCACGTGGTCTTGCCTGCACCTTAATGCCGAAGGTGGTTCAGGGATGTTTAGTGTTTTTTCTTCAAGGTTCGAGGGCCTAATCGGCTCAATTGTTAGCCTTTCACCGGGGGACGAAGTACACATGCAGCACTCCAACACACTCCGACTGCGATTCAGAGTTCAAGGCAGGATACAGTAACGGGCAAATCCAGAACATTGCGTGATAAACGGGCCTTCATTCACTAACTGTGTGTTTGCCTAGACATACCGTTCCGTGTCTGTGACGATTTTCTCAAAATAGTAAGACTGATAGCCATTATGATCGTCACAGCCATGTTTCCAGCCTTACTGTTCCTATTAGGCTCGCGCAAGGCAACGTACTAAAGGAACACTGAAAAGGTCTTTAAATCAACGGTCTGACTGTATAATGAGCAACAGACAAAGCCAACCCACATCCAAACCATGAAGCCCTCAATTCCCCCAAAGTAGGTAAAATCATGGCCCAAAACCCATAAAAGGCTGTTATTCTACATACTTTTGGGGTCCAGGTACACGACAGCTCGGTACCACATTCATCCTGACAACCTGAACGCCAAACCCTGAACAGTTAAAGACACTGGCAGCGACGGCAGTCGCAACAATACGAGTAGCAACACCAGAGTAGTGAACAAAGCAATAACTGCAGCCCTAACACCCTGTTCGCCCCGAAACCCGTAGCCCCTAAACCCTAAATGCTAAACCCTAAACCGTTCGCCGTGACCATCCCCTATTCTTCGATCTCCTCAACACCTAAGCCGCCAAACCTCCAACACCCCAACAAGCTACAAACTCAGCTTCGGTGCCCAAAACCCCGAAGCCCTAAACCCCCAAAAGCCTTAAAACTACCTAAACTCAACTTTGGTTCCCCAAACCCCCAAACCCCAAACTCAACTTCGGGGCCCTAAGCACCCTTAACCCGCCAAACCCGCTTCTACACTCTACCAAACCAAACCCAAACTCAGCTTCGCTGCCCATGATCACCAACTCTAAAGCCTTAACTCCTTAACCCTAAATCAGCTTCGCTGCCCATGATCATCTGCGCTACCAGTGAGCGCCCCTCAAAGGCTTCTTTGGCGAAAGTCTGGATCAGCGTGACCTGGCTCTCGCTTCTTCCTTCTCTTTTAAGGGTCCGTATTTTAAGTTATTTTAGAGGTTTCATAACCTTTTAGGAGGATTTCAATACATGTTTGAAGGGTCTCATGAAATTTTTCTGGGGTTCACAAACGTTGTTGAAGGGTTTTTGAATTTTTGAAAGGACTGACCGGGAATTGGACGGTGCTTTGGGGTTTCAGAAGGATTGTGGTAAGGCCCATTAACGCTTCGAGCAGGATTTGTGTACAGTATACTATATTATCTTTAATTAAAAATGTTTGAGGGATTTTACGGGGGATACCGTTCTACTATCTAATCAAACTTTCACATTATGGGTTCAGGGTTTTGCATCCAGGGCTGTACAGTTGCTTCTTCCTTCCTGCGGGAGGACTGAGGACAGAAGACAATTTGTCCGAAAGCTTCCAAGCGCCTCAGCCCCAGAACCCGAAAATCTTTGTAGAACCCCGGCAACACCGTCATGGCCATATATGTAACTCCTTCCCCTAAGGGTCCAAGTAGTCCTATTCATGGTTTTGGGTACCCATAAAGGCCCCAAAGTCCCTAAATAATGAGTACTTGGACCCTCAGGGTTCTACTGTGAAAACCAAAAGCACCGAAATGACCCTTAAAAGTCGGGGCCCTATATCCTTATACTATGAATCCCTATATGGTGTATGAACCCTAAACCCTTCTAGGGTTCATTTCGTCCTTAAGGAACCAGAAGCACCGAAGGCAACGCGACAACCGACCTGCTGCTTCCTCACCAGGAAGCCCGTGACGTACTCGAACCTGGCGGCCGAATTAGGGTTTAGGGTTTTGGGAATCGTCTTCAAAGCGGTTTAGAGAGACCTCTTAGGACTTGACATGTTTGAGTTCAGGGTTAAGGTTCAAGGGTTCTGGGCTTGGGGGCTTACGATAGGTGGGGGGGGGGGGGTTCTGTCTTTAGGACTGTCGGGTTTGGGTTGAAGAATTTAGAGTCGGCGTAGAGAACTCGCCAGTACTGCACCTGTAGCTCCGTGAATAAGGCATCCTAGGCTAACACGGGGGGATCGGAAAATCTGCAAGACTGTTTCCGTATGGCGCCGATAATTGTGCTAGAATATACCCCGCAAGCCCTCTTCTAGCTTTTGAGGTCACCACATTACCTAGTTTCGGGACGTGTTGGCTTTGAAAATTTAAGACTTGAGGGTAGGCTGTGCCACCCCACGAAGCATGAGACAGCCTTCAGTCCCGAAGTAGGTGCCCGAAGGAACGCGCCACCCCACAAAGCCAGAAGCCCTACATCCAGTAGAGTCAGTGAGTCGGTAGAGGCCTGGAACCTTCGAACATCGATAAAGGTGATACCAGTACTTTGTTAAAGGAAACTGCAGGTGGGGAGTTTCGGGTATATATTATATGGCTTCTATAAGGCTTCTATAAGGTATATAGACCTTCTATAAGAATCCCATAACAGGAACTACCCACCTGAAAATGTCCTAGACTTTGCTCTCCTTCCCACTGCTCCTACCTGGGAAGGCCTCGGGATTTTCCGAAAGCCCAGCCACGAAACGCTAGAACCAGTTCAATGCCGAAACCCTAAAAATACCGACAAGCGCCAGGCACCGAGCAAGAACGTCAATCAGAACCATGTAGTACAAATCCGAAAAACCAGGCATGATAGCAACCTCCGGAAGGCCCTAGAACAACCCCTAATATGCACGAAGCGGTAGCTCCCGGGGCTCCGACAGCAGAAACGCCGGGGAGATGTCTGTGCTGCCGCCAGCATCGGTGTAGTTCCTCCGCGTAAGTTCGGATTCCAGGCGTTAAAAATAGGCTTATTAATTGTGGGGCTGCTACTATAGGAGTCAGGGGTTGCGGTTGTGTTTTCGGGTTTGAGGGCTTGGGCTTTTAGGGCTTCAGGGTGGCGAACACCGAAAAAATTGAAAAGCGCCCTCCCGAACACAAACAGCCGTGAAAAAAAAACTTACAAAACAAGACCAAAACACCGAACCCCAAACCCTAAACTCTCTACACCCGAACCCCCAACACCCCTCTGGGGGGACCCCGGTCTCTCCTCTTGCACCCCAAGAACACGGCCAAACGACCAGCCAGCGTCTGCAACTCCTGCGCTCCGGCTTCACCGAGGGGTCTCCTACGGGGCCTTTAGCGCCGGGGCTTACCTGGCGTTTTCCGAAGTTCGAAACCAGGGTTCCAAATCGAGGTGTGCAGTTCTCGGCACAGTTCGTTTTAATTGGACGAGGAAAGAAACCCTGGATGAGGCATGCGCCTCTGCAGCTCAACCCTAAACCCTAAACCCAGGATCCCTAAAACCTAGAAGCCAACACACACTCTAAACCCTAGACCCGAATCTTGAAGTCGGAACCCTACCCGGACCCCAAAAGGATGTAGAATAGAAGCCTTTTTTATAAATCTTGGGCCATTATTTTACCTACTTAGTAGGTAAAATCATGGCCCAAATCCAGGAAAAAAAAAGTTGTTATTCTACATACGACCTACTTTCGGGGGTTTCTAATTATGCCGAAACCTGGGCCCTGATTCCCGAAAAAACGTCAGCCAAGCGTATCTCGATCCGTCTGGAACTCTGAACCGTGGGAAAATTCTTTAACCTGTCGAACCCAGAGACGGCAAACCCGCTTACGTGAGGAATATACTGTTGTATTCACGGCCCCCCTTTTGCGCAGAGTCGGTTCGTTAAGTAGTCAATGCTGGCTTGTTGAGGCACTGGTGTTTGGCTTCCGTATTCAAGCTTATGGATAGGGCTGCTAGGATATCGATTCAACTTCACAACTGAGCTGTTGAGAGGCTTGGGCCAAGGTTGGTCAACAGACTTGTGCTGATTCTAGATCTGATAGCAAACCCTCAGTTTAGTGTCGGCATATGGTTTCTACTGCAGAGTCCTTGGAGACCACCTCGTCCACCCCAGTCTTCCTTGCAAGCTGCTACTCTCTAGAAAGCTGGGCCAACAAGTGGCTTTTGCGCATTGATCTCTCAGACTGCTGGCTCAGCTTTGTTGATGGGACTTTCCAGGGAGGGAATATGCTCATTGAGGATACTTTATGTTGGGACTCTGCCTCCGAGTCTATCGAATGCAGATTCCTGATTCGTCCCCTAAACCCTAAACCCTAAACCCCCTATTCGTCACGAAAGCCGCGGACGATCTTCAAGCATGTCGAGCCGACTTTTTTGGCCAAGTGCGTATATGGGTAGTTCTCCAAAATTAGGGTCCCGTCTTAGGTCACCAATTTTGTGCGGCACCCTTATAAAAAGGGACCCTAGAAGGGACCCTAATGTAGAGAATTGAACTACCCATATAAGCAACATCCTTTAAACATCCCAACGGGGGCCCACACGAGCAACCCCTCAGTCAGCCAGTTCGAGCATCGGGTCTTGTCGGGGGCCAGGTTCGACCCGCAAGGCCTGTCTGCTCGAGCCGACGAGAACGGGTCACGGCGGCAGTCAACGGCTTTTGGGATGCAGATTTTCCATACTCCGAAACCCTTCAAACGAACGTTGATGCACGGTGGAGTCCCGGCAACACACGTGAAGAAGATCGGAGGTGTCACAGTCGCGCACATCTACTACATTGAAAGCCGCTACTTAACTAACCCAAAACCGCAAATCCCCGAAGACACACACACACAAGAGAGATAGAGAGAGAGAGAGAGCACAAACTCGGCAAAGCGGCTCCCTCCAAACACGCACCTTACAAACTCGGCTTTTACATCTTGGGACTCGGGGCTCCAAACCCAGCAAGACAGAGTACAGAACCCTTCAAGAAAAAACCTACAAAACCCAAAAAAGCCGAAAATGGAAGCCCTAGAGGAATCCTATCCCAAAAAGCCCTAAACTTGCAGCCCTCTAAACCCTTCACCAAAACCCGAAAGCCCCTCTTCACGTAAGCCCTAGAAGCCCTCAAAAATCCGACGAAAAATCCCTGGAACTCCCCTAAACCCTAAACC